GTATTGCATGGAAACACTTTTTATAGTTTTTCTTTTTCTTATTAGCTTTTCAAAAATATTTTAAAAACAGTCCTCTCAGTATAAATTGCAAAGTAAATACAATATCATTCATTGTCCTCATCATGCAGAAGTAGTGAACTTTTGACTTTTGAGATGTTTCAGACTACAGTTTCTACAGTCACTGTTTATTGGTCAGCTGGGAAAAACTTTTGGGAGTTGAAGGTCAAAGCATCTGGAAGGCTAGATGTGCCCCATCCCTGCCATGTTTGCAAGGCTAATTGCAATCTTTGTTGTTTAGTCATTAATTTGTGTCTGACTCTTTGTGACCCTATGGACGAAAGCATGCCAGGCCCTCCTGTCTTCCACTGCCTCCCAGAGTTTGGTCAAATTCATGTTGGTAGCTTCAATGACACTGTCCAACCATCTCGTCCTCTGTTGTCCCTTTCTCCTCTTGCCTCCACACTTTCCCAACATCAGAGTCTTTTCCAGGGAGTCTTTTCTTCTCATGAGATGGCCAAAGTATTGGAGCCTCAGCTTCAGGATCTGTCCTTCCAGTGAGCACTCAGGGTTGACTTCCTTCAGAATGGATAGATTTGTTCTCTTTGCAATCCAGTGGACTCTCAAGAGTCTCCTCTAGCACCATAATTCAAAAGCATCAACTCTTCGGCGGCCAGCCTTCTTTATGGTCCATCTCTCACTTCCATACATCGCCAATCATTTGTTCCATATCCAGTTCTAACTGTTACTTCCTGTCCCACAATTGCAATCTACTTCTGAATAAATATGCATAACAGTATTGGGGAACAGTGTCCACTGTTGCATGTTTCAACTGGAGGGGGAAGTCAAAGGCTAAAATTAGGTTGAATTACCAACATAATATCTCCCACATAAAGCTTTTAAAAAAGTAATAGTTGTTGGAGGAAGAGAAAGACACAAAGACACAGTCCACTTATATACATGTACATGGCATATTTTGTCCAATCAGAAGACAGATGACTTCATCCTTTGCACCTGGTCTTCTGGTTTCAAGACATTGCATCATCTCCAGAGTGATTCAGCATTCTCACATCTGTGCACAATGGCAGCTTGTTAATGAACACTTATACATGTTCAGGCCTACAAAATTTATATATTCTGACAGACCCCATGGACGAGAGCATGCCAGGCCCTCCTGTCTTCCACTGCCTCCCAGAGTTTGGTCAGATTCATGTTGGTTGCTTCAATGACACTGTCCAACCATCTCGTCCTCTGTCATCCCCTTCTCCTCTTGCCTCCACACTTCCCCAACATCAGGGTCTTTTCCAGGGAGTCTTCTCTTCTCATGAGATGGCCAAAGTATTGGAGCCTCAGCTTCAGATTCTGTCCTTCCAGTGAGCACTCGGGGTTGACTTCCTTCAGAATGGATAGATGTGTTCTCTTTGCAATCCAGTGGACTCTCAAGAGTCTCCTCTAGCACCATAATTCAAAAGCATCAACTCTTCGGCGGCCAGCCTTCTTTATGGTCCATCTCTCACTTCCATACATCGCCAATCATTTGTTCCATATCCAGTTCTGTTACTTCCTGTCCCACAATTGCAATCTACTTCTGAATAAATATGCATAACAGTATTGGGGAACAGTGTCCACTGTTGCATGTTTCAACTGGAGGGGGAAGTCAAAGGCTAAAATTAGGTTGAATTACCAACATAATATCTCCCACATAAAGCTTTTAAAAAAGTAATAGTTGTTCTCTCAAGCAGATACCCAGTCTTAGCAATTAAATACCCAGCAGACCCAAATTGCCTGGCCATATAGCATTTAATCTTTGGTCCAAGGGAAGAGAGGCTGCAATCCTATGCATACTTATCTGGCAATGAAAATTCTTTGAACTTTATTCTGTGTAGACAGATATAGGATTGCCCTTTAAAAAAAACTTGAAAAAAAACATGAGAAGTCCAGTTTTGGTCAGTACAATATGCTACTTGTTTCTTAGTCCTTAAATTTTATTGATAAAACTCATTTCCATCCCAAATGTATGTATTTATTTAAAATATTTCTATCGAGCCTTTCTCCTTGAAAAGGACCCATGGCAGTTTACAACACTGAAAGACAATATTTAAAGTTGAAAACAATGAGTGTACAATGGTAGTTAACAACATTAAAATACTATACTTAAGGACAATGACTGAGTATACAAATATCTTAAAAACACCACTCTGAGAAATTGCAACACAAATATGCAAAACATACGTAGTACTGAAGAAATCCAGTCAAAGCAATAACACATAACAATTCATCTAAAAATCACACAACAGGTAGCTAGTTGCTGAGGGAAGGCTTGCCTGAAGAGAAAGGCCTTTGCCCACTTGCGAAGGACAGCAAAGATGGGGCTAGTCTGGCCTCCTGCAGGAGGGAGTTCCAAAGTCTGGGAGCAGCAACAGAGAAGGCTTGCTCCTGTGTCCCCCTCAGATGCATCTGTGAAGGTGGCAGGATCAAGATCTCCTGATGATCGCCTGCAGGAGGGAGTTCCAAAGTCTGGGAGCAGCAACAGAGAAGGCTTGCTCCTGTGTCCCCCTCAGATGCACCTGTGAAGGTGGCGGGATCAAGATCTCCTGATGATCATAACACCTAAGGCAGCTCATAATGGGAGATATGGTCTTTGTGACTACTTGCACCCAGGCCATTCAGAACTTTATAGGTTCAAATCAGCACTTTCAATTGTGGCCAGAAACTGATTGGCAGCCAGTGGAGATTCTGTAATGGGGGCAGTGAGGGTTATGTGATCCCTGTAGCCCGCCCCAGCCAGAAATCTGGCTGCTGCCTTTTGGCCCACTGAAGTTTCCTGGCACTTTCAATCAGTAGACCCATATAAAGTGCATTACAGTAATCCAGCCGGGAGGTAACTAGGGCATGTGTCAGAGTGGCCAGATCAGATATCTCAAGAAACTGATGTACCTGGCGTACTAATATTAATTGTGCAAATGTCAAGACCTAAGCATCCATACTCAGGGATGAATCTGGACTAAAAGAGCACCTGTTTTTTAAGTGGGAGTGTAATCCCATTCAGTACAGGCTGCATCCCTGTTTCTTGATCTGCCTTTCGACTGACCAGGAGCACGTCTGTCTTGCCTGGATTAAGTTTCAATTTATTCACCCGCATTTGGTCCATTGCTGATACCAGACACTGACTTACAGCCAAAACAGCTTCCTTGGATTTTAAGTAGCAAGGAGAGGTAGAGTTGGGTGTCATCTTTTGGAGTCAAATTCAGGATAATCTCTCCAAGTGGTTTCATGTAGATGTTAACATGGGAGAAAAAACAGACCTGTGAGGGACCCCACAGGTCAATGGTCAGGATGTCGGACATGAATCCCCCAGCACCACCTTCTGAGTTCTCTCCCCCAGGTAGGACTTGAGCCACCGTAAAACAGTGCACTCAAGTCCCATTCCAGAGAAACATGTCAGGGATACTATGGTTGATAGTATCGAAAACTGCCAAGCGGTCCAGCAAAACCAACAGGGACAGAGATCCCCTATTCAGTTTCCTGTATATGTAAGTCATTTACCAAGGCGACAGATCAGACCTCTCAAGAAATGGGTGCAGCTGGCACAAGGCACTCCTGGCCACTGCTGAAACCTGGGCATCCAGCCACAGAGATTAATCCAGGAGTTTACCAAAGCTGTACACCAGTAATTCCATCCAGCACAAACTCCATCCCTGTTTCTTGATCTGCCTTTTGACTGACCAGGAGCACCTCTGTCTTGCCTGGATTAAGTTTCAATTTATTCACCCGCATTTGGTCCATTGCTGATACCAGACACTGACTTACAGCCAAAACAGCTTCCTTGGATTTTAAATTTGGTCCATTGCTGATACCAGACACTGATTTACAGCCAAAACAGCTTCCTTGGGTTTTAAGTAGCAAGGAGAGGTAGTAGAGTTGGGTGTCATCTGCATACTGGTGACACCAAACCGCCAAATTCAGGATAATCTCTCCAAGTGGTTTCATGTAGATGTTAACACAGGAGAAAAAACAGACCTGTGAGGGACCCCACAGGTCAATGGTCAGGATGTCGGAGGAGAAAAAACAGACCTGTGAGGGACCCCGCAGGTCAATGGCCAGGATATGAATCCCCCAGCACCACCTTCTGAGTTCTCTCCCCCAGGTAGGACTTGAGCCACGGTAAAACAGTGCACTCAAGTTCCATTCCAGAGAAACAGGTCAGGGATACTATGGATGATAGTATCGAAAACTGGCAAGTGGTCCAACAAAACCAACAGGGACAGAGATCCCCTATTCAGTTTCCTGCATATGTAAGTCATTTACCAAGGCGACCAAAGCTGTCTCTGTCCCATAACCAGTTCTGAAGCCATCTCATTGAGAAGCCTCTGGAGTTGAGAGGCCACAACCCACTCTAGCACCTTCCCTAAGAATGGGATATTAGATTCTGGTTGGTGGTAATTTAGTATTGTGGGGTCCAAAGAGAAGGAGTCTTCCAAAACCAGAACCTCCATTAAAAGATGAAGGTAGCTATGTAGACATGTACAAGTTGCTGTTGGACGATATCATTGTTAGGGCCAATGTAAAAGATGCAGCCTTTTGAATCCTCTCTAAAGTGGTACGGTTTAGGGATTGGAATTGGAAGGTTTAAAAACTGGGCAAATATTTTGGCCAGGATATCCTCAATTTGACTTTTCCCTGTTTCTTCCATGAGTTTGCCTTTTGGGAGGGGGAGCATCCAGCTAAGAGGTAGTAAAGTTTTCCAGCTCCAGACTTGTGGATTGTGGCTTTCACTGCCTTTTATCATTACAGGCCGGGAATTTTGGGAGTTGAAATCCCACACATCTGGAGTGTCAAAGGTTCGACACCTCTTCCTATGGAATACTGTAATTCCGAAGGACCTGAAAGCTCGTAAACTTTCTGGAATGTTTGATTCGCCCTGATAAAGAAGTCCCCTCGCAGAAACAACGCGGGCCGCTCTACAATTCTTAGAAACTCTATGGTCCGTTGGTATGCGTGGTGACGTTGCAGGGCGACGCCAGGGAGCGAAAGGGGCGGGCCAGCCAGCGGTTGGCGCTGTCAAGCTCCGCGCTGATTCGTGAGAGGAGGAGGGAAAGGGACGTCGGCAGGTAAGGGCCTGAAGGACGGCGGTTTGGGGTCCCGCCGAGGGCCCCCCTCCGCGGTTGCCTCAGAGTCAGGTCGCGGCGGAGGGGTGGGCGAGGGCCGGGTGGGCGAGGGCCGGGCCGGCGTGGTGGCCTTCATCAGCCGCTTCCGCTGGGGCCGGAGGAGTGTCCTTGGGGCGACGTTGTTTCGGGAGAGCGTGACGGGCTGCGAAAGCGCGCCAGGCGGAGGCGGACACTCCCGGCAGCCACTTCCGCCCGGTTGTCCCTCTCGTCTCCTTAAAGAGAGAGAGCGAGAGAGTTTTTTTTTGGGGGGGGGATGATTGCGAATCCGGGTTGGTAGCGTCTGGCGAGGATGCGGCGTTTTGGGGCTCCGCCGTGCTGTCGGCCCCGTACAAGAACCCGTGCCCGGCGTTGGGGGACGCTGCGGTCAGGGTCACCGGCGGGGAGGTGCAAGAGCTGAGGGTGGGGCCAAGGGAGATCATCGTACAGTTTTGCTCCTGCTCTGAGGAGCACTGCCTGTGAAGGCTTGGGGGTGCAAAGACTTGAGGCGTGCAGCATACAAACGAGTCAGGGGGTAGTCATTATAATAAATAACCAAAATAAAAAGCTGTATGAAATCAAGTGCAGTCCAGCTGGGGACAGGCAGAAATATGACAGAGGGATAAATGTGGACAACAGTATGTATTCCAGATAGTTTTCTAGGGTGATGAAATATAGAAACTGGCATTGTACTTCGTCATAATTTTTTTTAAAAAACCATGCCGTTCTAACATTTATATTCTGACTTCAGTCAGTGCTCTTAGTGAAAATATCAGAAATTAAAAGAAATAAAGCTGCAGTGATTACATCCACCCTAAGTGGCAGAGCAAAATGAAAATAAAAGCCAGAGTTTGAAGTACTGTATTTAAAGGCTGTATTGTAAAAAAATCTAAGTTGATTTAAACAGTTTTTTGGAGTAACATCTAAAATGTAGAACTTGGTGCCAGGCACACGTACTTTGGGTACTGCTGCCAAATAGTCCTTCTTCCTTGTTTTAACTTACTTTACCTTTAATAGTGATATCATGGACCTTACATGAAGGCATATTGTTGTGGGAAGTATTGGTCTTTCAGTTACATAGGATCCTAGCTCTATAGGGCTTTAAAGATTGGCATTAATACTCTGAATTGGATCTAGAAGCAAATAGATAAATAGTGACTTTTTAGTGCGGGTGCCTAAGTGCCTACCACATATATGCTCCATGCCTAAGAAGGTCTCAGTCTCACCAGTTTTCCCTGGCCGTTCTTAGTGATCAGGTCCACCCAGTAAGTTTTATCAGTGAGTAGATATTTGAACTGGGTTGTCCTGGTTCAGATCTGACACTGGGAATTCCCCTCCTTTCATCTAAAAGTGCCCTATTCCAAAATATTAATTAGCACGCAGGTCACGTGAGGGGATAAAATGGCAAGTAATTGTAAGGTTACAGAAGAAAATATTAATGTTATCCTGACAGTATTAAGAGAGGTAGCTATAGTATAATCATAGGATAATTGAGTTGGAAAGAGTCTGTAAGACCATTGAGTCCAACTTTCTGCTTAATACAGGAATCCGAATCAAAGCAGATCTGACAGATGATGGTCTGATTACTTCATGAATGCCTCCAACATTGGAGCACTCACCACCTCCTAAAGTAATTAGCTCCATTGTTGTACTGCTCTAACAGTTACACAGTTTTTTCTGATATTCAGCCTAAATCTGGCTTCCTGCAACTTGAACCAATTATTATATATGCTGCACCAGGAACAGACCCTCCTTCTCTGACTACCTTTCAAGTATTTGAAGACTGCTGCCCTATCTCCTCCAAGTCTTCTTTTCTTAAGACTTTCTAAACATGCCCAGTTCTTTCAGTCTTTCCTCATCGAGCTTGGTTTCTAGTCCCCTGATCATCCCGGTAGCCCCCCTCTGAACAGGCCCTTTTGTTAGCATCTTTCTTAAAGTGCAGTGCCCAGAACTGGACAAAGTACTCTAGATGAGGCCTAACCAGTGCTGAATAGACTGGAACTAGCACCTCACAGGTTTGTAAACTCTACTGTTTCCAAATCCTGTTATTGCAGCCTAAAATAGCATTTGCCTTTTTTTTGTAGCCACATTGCACTGTTGGCTCAAATTCAGCTTGTGATCTACAAGAATTCCAAGATCCTTCTCACTCGTAGTATTACTGAGCCAAGTATCCCCCATCTTGTAACTGTGCATTAGGGGCTTCACCCCAGGTGTAGAACTTACCTCTATTAAATTTCATTCTGTTGTTTTCAGCCCATGCTCAAACCTATCAAGATCTCTTTGAATTTTGTTTCTGTCTTCCATGGTATTAGCTATTCCACCCAATTTTTTGTCATCCTCAATATTGATAAGTATTCCCTGCACGCTGTCAGTCATGACATGAATGACAAAGTCATTAGTAAAAATGTGGAAGAGCACCAGACCGAGGACTGAGCCCTATGGTCCCTCACTTATCTCTTTCCAATTTCAGAAGGAGCCATTGATAAGCACTATCTGAGTACAATTCTGTAAGTAGCGGCATATCCATCTACCAGTTGTTCTATCCAGTTATTCCATATCATGGAGCACTTTATTAAAGGATTTGCTGAAGTCAAGATATATTACATTTACAGCAAGATACATTATGTCTTTAGTAGTCTGCTTAAGCAGTAATAAAATATAGACAGAGCTGTACGTAAACCTGTCTCCTAGATATTGTTTTCCATGTGTGTAAAGAAGGCACTGCAACAAAAATATGTGTTTAGTGCTAAAGCAGCTATAATGCTTTTATTTTTGTTTTTGTTAAAATAATTGTACTTACAGAGGAACCAATATACATAGTACTATGTACAGTAATTAAAAGGAGGTCAGTATTCCAAGAAATTTATAGTCTGAAACAGGAGGGGGCAACCGGGAAGGATTGAAGGGAATTATGTGGAGTCATGCATTTGGTTCATCCGTACATACTGTGTTTCCCCGAAAATAAGACAGGGTCTTATATTCATTTTTGCTCTAAAATGCACTAGGGCTTATTTTCAGGCAAAGTTTTTTTTTCATGTACAACAATTACATTTATTCAGATACAGTCATGTCATCGTCTGGTTGCTGCACAATGGTGGAGGGCAGGGTTTCACTTAACTGGGGCTTATTTTGGGGGGTAGGGCTTATATTACGAGTGCCCTGAAACATCATACTAGGGCTTATTTTGATGTTAGGTCTTATTTTTTGGAAAGCAAGGTACTTGTGTAGTAGTAATAAAGAGGACAGGGACAGCAGATTTATTGTGCCAAAAGCTTAACAGAAAAAGGAAACAAATTCGTACATTTTATCTGGCCTAGTCATGAGATTTCCTGTTTCGTGAAGTTATGATTTGCTGTTGTCCAGTTCGGCCCTTCCTTTAAAAATAAGAAACAGCTGCATTTAAAGTAACTGGCGTTTCCTTGGCCTATCCTGTTGTCATAGTCATTAATTTAATGTACATTTTCTGTTATGTGTGAGAAAATACAGATGATATTAATCATGTTGTCATCCATGCTTGTTAGATGGAAGAGGAGATGGTTGCCATGCATTATGGATTGTAAATAATGCATATGACCTTGAATACAAGGCTTCTTTTAAGACACTAATGTTCATCCTATCTGAACATTTCAGTTAATTCTGTGATGCTACTGGAGAGCGTACAAATCCCTTTCTAACAGTTGTCCTGTGGAACTTCCAGTCATAGGACCTATCAGTAAGGTTTCCATGTGCCTCTTTAGATAATCAGAGACCAAAACATTTTTTTTATTTTTTTTCTCTTGGAAAGAAACCTTTATTTATTTATTTATTTCTAAAGAATGAAAAGACAATCGAACATTTTACAAATATTAAATACAAAACTATTCCCCACTTTTCTCCAAATCATATATATATACCTTTACCCATCACCTTTTTAAAAAATTGACCAACAATCTAAGTCTCTTTTCAAACCACATGTCTCCATTTTATCAGCATATTTTAATAATGGCTTCCAGTTTTCCGTGAATTTACTATCAGAGACCAAAGCATGTTTCTTATACATTCTGTATTTTTTTTTAAAAAAAACAATCTTGGGTTGAGATATTTTTTTCTTCTCTGGAGTATACTTGGTGAGTATAGCAAACCATGCAATTGAGCCTCATCTTCCTGTTATGTGATATGCTGTTGCATTGTGAACAAATTTAGCCTACCCAGGAGCACATGCTGCTTAGTGTACCCAGCAACATCCCATAATAAATATTGCAAATTTGTGGTAGATCTTATGGCTTCCATTTTGCATAGTGATTAGTTTGAATGATCTATAAACTATCATACAAATATGATTTGATTGCTGAAACAGATATATTTGGCAGAAGGAGTATTTCACATCTCTGTATAAGTTTGAGAATTGGTTGAACTGCAAAGCATGCATTTCATAGACAAAGCACTATTATATTATTTTAAACTAGTATCTAAGAGAATTAGTATGGCCAGAAACCTAATAGTTGCACCTTGCAGTGTAACTCAATCAGCATAAATCTCCTTGGTGAATTGTCAGAAATTAAGAAGTCAGAATAGTCATGCTGTTGCATGTCACATCATGCAGTTCAGTTCACAATAGCAAATGCTTATGCTGCCTTCAAAAATTGTAGTAATTTGCCACTGAGATTTATACTGATTGAATTATAGCTGCATCCATGTACAATAAACCTTGTAAGGCACCACTGAGATCATGTCTTCACGAGAACTCAAAGAATGTAAACACACTGAGATTCTGGCTCGTCCTAAACTGTGCAACTTAAATTACTTTAACTTCAGAGTTGGGATCTTGTAGTCCTCTGCAAATTTAGCCTGCCCTAGCATGATCTTACTGTTTGGTTGAAGAAAATCTTGCTGATCAAAACCTGGTGCTCATGAAACAGTGTGAGTTAACATTAACTAGATGAACCGAGAAGATAGATGGTTTGAGAGAGGGGTCAGGGAGGCCATACATGTGCATATGGAAAATCCCTCACTCAACAGGGGTGGAGGCCTTAGATACAATCTGTCTCCTATTCATCACGCTGCCCTTTCATCTGTCCCCAGGAAGATCAGGACCACACCCATGACTGTTGACTGGAGAAGGACTGCAGATGTGGGATTTTCACTCCCCCCCCCAGCCTTTGTCCATCTAATGAGCCTATTCAGAAGGGGGGCAGTGAAACCAATGTGGAGGATATATCAGGGGTCTCCTACCAACTCTCCTTACACTGAAGAAGCTATTTAGATGAATAGCTAAACATTTCAACCTAATACGAAAGAAGTCCAGTTGCCATGACTCAACTTCCAGATAACCTCACCTGGATGACTGAGAATTATAGATATAGTACCAGAATCAATTCACTGATGTAGTACGAGGCAACTCCTTAATTTCCAGGTGGCACATGACAATGCAGTGTTGGAAGTAGCACGCTAAATGGGATCTAATCCAGCATGGCTGCTTTTCTGTTGTGTCTGGTTATTTGCTGGTTGGGATATAATGGATATAGTTTCTGTTAAGGCTTATGCCAAAAATGGGTTTACTGTAGAAAGAGACTTTCTTATAGAATTCACCATTGTAATTTTTAACTTTCGGTAATGGTATCTGTAAACTGGCCTTTTTTATCAGTAAGTTCAGTTAAATGTTTTCTCTGCATAGCAATTGACTGAAGTAATTCACTACAATCCAGTGAATACTTTAGTTCACATTTACATGGATTTCATGTGCTTAATTGTGTGTTGCATATACAGTGGTGCCCCACATGATGACGATAATCCGTCCCATTGAAGTCGCTGTTTAGCTAAATCGTCGTCATGCAAAAACCCTTTCCCCATTGGAATGCATTGAAACCCGGTTTAATGCGTTCCAATGGGGAAAATACCTCGTCGTCCAGCGAAGATCGCCCATAGGGATGCCATTTTGCAAGCGCCGATCAGCTGTAAAAATGGCTGCCCTGCGAAGCATGGGTCCGTAAAACACAGGGCAGCCATTTTGTGAAGCCAACTATCAGTGGAAAAAATTGTCGTCTTGCAAACAAACAGTTCGCCAAGCACGGACCTATTCAACATCCAGCAAAAATCCCCCATTGGAATGACTGTTTTGCGAATCGCTATAGCGATCGCAAAAAGTCATCGTTATGCGGATTCGTCATTTAGCAGGGTCGTCGTCTTATGAGGTACCACTGTATGTAGGTATTATGAATATATGCCAGAATATTTACAAATTACATATATTTCATTGCTGCTTGCTTTTTCCCCAGCATCAATTCCTGTATCTTTGTTTAATGGCTAAAACATGCTTTATTTCTCTCCTAACAGGAACCTGTCGCTGCAGTAGGAAAATGTTTCACTTAAGGACTTGTGCTACTAAATTGAGGCCATTGACAGCCTCACAGACTGTTAAGACAATTTCTCAAAACAAACCAGCAGCACCAAGGACGTTTCAGCAAATTAGGTGTTATAGTGCACCTGTTGCTGCTGAGCCATTTTTGAGTGGGACTAGTTCGAACTATGTGGAGGAAATGTATTATGCTTGGTTGGAAAATCCCAAAAGTGTACATAAGGTAAGGAGCAGCTTCTGAAGAACAAACATTTTCTTCTGCGTGTTGGTGTTCATGGCTTAATGTTGTGCTTCATAAGGTAAGTGTAGTCTGTAAGAGGAAGAACGCCTGTAAAAGATTCTGAAATCCTTAAAATCCCTGCAGTTTGTGGAGAAACTAAAAGCACATCACTGACAAAGAATGGCACTGATGAAAGAGTCGACACTGAAGTAAAATCGACTTTGTCCTGAAGACTTATCTTTTTTAATCCAACATGGATACGTGGAAGGATGAGCCACCTTCTTTTGCTGTTGACTTGGAAATGGCTGAGCTACTGGTGATGTTCTGTTCTGACATCAGAATAATAGAATTCTCCTGGATAGGAAGCAGACATTAAAATTTGATTTGTTTATACGATTGTGTAAATACAAAGCTCATTCAGGGACCCACTCATGCAAGGAACACTTGTGAAGTGATTCCTAGTCTGCCACCTGTAGTCACCTCATTTCTCTGTTTTGAGAAAACATTAGAGAGGCTCAATTCTAAGTCTCTATGGGATATTGCTAATTCCACTTTTCTGGTAGTCTGCATAAAAAGTAATTACTCTATCTCCAGTAGAGTTAGATCCATCCTTATACACAGCGGGAAGGATCTAACTCTACTGGAGATAGAGTAATTACTTTTTATGCAGACTACCAGAAAAGGGGAGAAATACAGTGGTGCCTCACTTAACGAGGATAATTCGTTCCGTTTAAATCACTGTTAAGCGAAATCCTCGTCAAGCAAAATGAAAAAGCCCATTGAAATGAAAAAGCCCATTGAAAACCGGTTCAATGTGTTCCAATGGGCGAAATACCTCAGCGTCCTGCGAAGATCCTCCATAGGGAGGCAATTTTCCGGTGCCTGTAATGCGAGGAATGCGTCCTAAAGCACAGCGGGGAGCCATTTTGCACAGTGGGTGGCCATTTTGAAACCCAACAATCAGCTGCTTTTGATCGTCAAGCAAAAAATCAGTTCCCGAAGCAGGGAACCGATCAACGTTAAGCGGAAAAAGCTCATTCAGTCATCGTTTAGCGATCGCAAGAGCTGTGGCAAAAAAACTAATAGTCAAGCAATTTCCTCATCTAATGAGGTAATAGTCAAGCGAGGCACCACTGAACTCAGTTTTTGGCTTCTGAGGTGCATTTATTAAACAAAGCCATGAAAAAAGAACATGTTTGATACAGGGCTTGGCATGTTAAAATAAATCCGATTGTATTGGTGATTGGATGTGCATACTGGACTTTGAACTGCTATGAGTACACAGATCAGGGTTGTTGCAACATAGGACCTGTGAAATGTTCTCATGGAAAGTAATTCCTCTGTCTAAAGATAAGATAAAAAGAAAGCCAAGTGACTTGTTTGCAGGTCAAAGAATGTTGGTTTACAAACCAGATCTGCTGGCTTACTGTAGAACTAGCTAGGACAGGACAGTGTTGCTCAAGCAACAGCATGGCATTATCTGGCAAAAGAAACATGTGGCACAAGCCCATGTTGAAGTATAGTTCAAGGACAAGTTTTAGAACAGTATATGAGAGCAAGCAGTCATATAGTCTAAGCATTTTGAAATCAGCTTTGAACCACTGAATTTAACATTCAGTAAAATTCTGTAACTTCTTTACTGAATTCTGGCGACAATAATCCACTGGATCTGAATCCTAGGAAACAAGGGAACTTAACATTAACACTACACATTAAGTTTATACATTACCATTATCACTACACATTAACTTTGCTGACTGATGCTGTGATATTATACTTGTGCAGAAGCTTGTACTGTAAATTGAAAATCATGCATGGGTCTTAATCACAAATCTGCTTATGTTTGTGAAACATGTAGACATTTCTGGCATAACTGCCAGAATCATTTGAACCAATGCATAATGTTTCATGCTGTTAGCTATTAACATAATTTAAATCTTAAGTCATCAACCTGCCAGAGAACCATTAAGAAGTAAAAGGATATTGAATAGTCAGGGCAGTTGTTAGACAAAGAATAGGCTTATGCTGTTATCAACCATGACTGATCAAATGGTACATGTTGGTAAGTGTTTGTAAGCATGGACATTGTCTGTTGGCCACCAATAAAAACTAAAGACACAAGTGTATCCCTTGTGACAAAGCAAGGACAACTTGCTTTTTGCCTCCATTTCTTAGAAAATATCTCTGTCCTACCCAAAACAATGGCTACTTGCTTCTTCCTAAGAAGATAAGAGTGGTCAGGGTGGTGGAGTTGGAGTGTTCCAAAAATAAAAATCAGAAGGAGGAGATAATGTGCAACTTAGAAAATAAGAATTTCCTATTATGCAGATGTGCCTCCCCCACCCCCCAGCATTTCTATTACGCAGGATGTTGTTCTGGTATCTGTATCATGTATTATTACTGCAGAGTAGGATGGCTCTGCTAGGACTGAGCATGAAATTTTTGTTTCTGGTACATGCCACAAGCTACACTAGGTCCTAGCGTACAGGGTGGAGAGATAACAACTTAGTAGCTTCTGGTTTTTAATTTTCATCGGGAGGCTGGGATGAGCTCTCAACCACATTGAAGCAAAAATGCTTGTTCAACTTTTAGTTTTGTACGGGAGGATCTGCATGCAGTCTTCAGCCCACGCTTAGTCCACCTTGCTCTACTGTTCTTTCCTGGCTGACTTTTTCCAGACCCAGATTATCTCAAAATTGGCATTTACTGTTCATGTTGCTGAAACCTTTGGGGAAATCAAAACATTTTATTTTATTTCTATACTACACCATCTAGTGGCATGCCACTACTCTTGGCAGTTTCCAACAAAAGAATAAGCATACACCTAAAGAAAACAACCATCTCTCCCAACCGACACCACAATAATATTTAAAATGATTCAGAGAAAACACAAGATGGCAACCACAAACAACAGTAAATGTAAAATAAATAAAAAGAACAAAATCGTAAAAAACTGAATAGTTCAGTAGCTTAGATATCTGGCTGTGGAGCCAGAGGTTGGGAGTTCAGTTCCCCAGTGTGCCTCCTTGACAAGGGCTGAACTCGATGATCCATGGAGTCCCTTCCAGCTCTGGAGTTCTAAGATGATGATGATTAAGATAAGTACAAGGGGAAGATGTCCTGAAATACCTCTCTGAAAAGCAGGGTTTGAACGTGCTGTTTAAATATCAGAAAGGCAGGGGCCTGGTGCACCTCCACAGGTGGAACATTCCATAGAGAGGCAGCCACCAGTGAGAAGGCCCAGTCTCTGGTCAAGGACATTGTAGCCTCTTTCAAGTGGTACGGGTTATAGATCTCAGGGAGAGGTGCTCTGACAGGCACCTAGGTCCCAAACCATTCAGGGCTTTATATGTCAACATTTTATCTTTAATTTGGCAGGGAAACATACAGGCAGCCAGTGCAGGTGAGCCAGGACCAGGGATATATGTTCATATATTGAATTCCTCAAGACCAACTTAGCCGCCACATTTTGCAGTTTCCATACTTCCTGCAAGGGCAATCCCCCATAAAGAGCAATTGCAATATTCAGTCTTAAAGGCTACGAGTGTTAATAGGGACTTTATGTGTAAATAGGGCCGCAAGTGTGCAATTTGCCTAAGTTAGCAATAGGCATACCTGGCCATGGCCAAAAGCCATCTCTCCATAGAGAGGGCTGGGTCCAGAAGCACACCTAGATTACGAACCTGGTACTTCAATGGCAGTGTAATCCCATCCAGAGCAGGCAAAAAATTCCCCTAACCAATCAGGATCCCCAACTAGCAAGATCTCCATCTTTTCTGGATTCCATTTCAGCCTGTTATCCCTTGTCCAGTCCATAACCAATGCCAGGCAGCTCTCTAGGGTCTGCATAGCTTCTGCTGTTGAGAGAGAGAGCTATGTGTCATCATACTGATGATATCACACTCCAGATCTCCAGATGACCTCTCCCAGCACCCTCATAGAATGATAGAAAAGTGAAGTTGGAAGGGGCCTACAAAGCCATCAAGTCCAAACCCCTGCTCAATGCAGGAATACAATCAAAACATATCTGCCAGGTGATATCTAAGATTTGCTTCAATGCCTCACCAACTCCTGATGTATATGGTTTCACTGTCGTACTGCTCTAAGAGTTAAGAAGTTTTTCCTGATATTCAACTGAAATCTGGCTTCCTTTAACTTGAACCCATTGTGCGTCCTGCACTCTGGATGATCGAGAGCAGGTCTTGCTCCTCTTCTGTATGACAGCCTTTCAAATATTTGAAAAGTGCTATAATATCACCCCTATGTCTTCTTTTCTCAAGGCTAAACGTGCCCAATTCTTTCAGCCTTTCCTCATAAGGCTTGGCTTCCAGCCCCCTGACCATCCTTGTTGCCCTCTGAACTTGTCCCAGTTTCTTAGCATCCTTCTTGAAGCGTGATATCCAGAACTGGACACACTACTTAAGGTGAGGCCTAACCAATGCTGAATAGAGGGGGACTAGCACCTCGTGGGATCTCGAAACTATACTTCTGTTAATGATGTGGTGCCGCTGCAGGTTGAACAGCAGAAGCCTCTGTGCTGCAAGGTCAGAAGACCTGCAGTCGTAAGATCGAATCCACACGACGGAGTGAGCCCCCGTCACTTGTCCCAGCTCCCGCCAACCTAGTGTTGCAAAAGCATGCAAAATGCAAAAATACGAGTAGATAAATAGGTACCAACCCAGTGGGAAGTTAACAGCATTCCGTGTCTAGTCGCGCTGGCCACATGACCACAGAAGATTGTCTTCGGACAAAGCACTTGCTCTATGGGTTGGAAACAGATGAGCACCACTCCCTAGAGTTGGACACGACTGGACAAATTGTCATGGGGAACCTTTACCTTTAAAATAGCATTTGCCATTTTTGTAGCCACAAATGAGCCACAGGCTCATATTCAGCTTGTGATTTACAACAATTCCAAGATCCTTCTTGCTTGTAGTATTGCTGAGCCAGGTATCCCCCATCTTGTAACTATGCAGGTTTCTTTTTCTGAGGTGCACTACTTT